AGTTGGCCTTTCTGTTAGAAAACAGATTTGGACAAAGCACCTCTTATGAACTACAGCATTATTCAAAACAATTTAAATTCACTTACCAATAGCATTCATACTCTGAAGCTTAAACCAACCAGGTTACTTCAATTTTTGTCGGAGGTCCACAGATCCCACAAGAAACAACCTGCTCTAACATTCCTTTCAAAAAGAGGTCTCTTCCTACAGAAAGGAGCTCTTAGATAGAGCCTAATAGAAATAGCTGAAGATTCACGGCTGATTTAGCCAGGTTAGAGATACTGTCAAGAACAGAGCCGCATTTGCACACAGAAAATTTAAACCCTGCTTTAGTCCAGAAGTTATTTCCGCACATTTATATTCTTTCTATTAGATATCCAGGCTGTCCCAAGCAGAATGAATTCCACTTACTCAGGGAAACTAAAGACTCTGAAACCACATGCTCTGTAACCATTTCCTGAAGTAGAATTCTTCAAAATCTGACTTTGATTTCTTCTCTGGTAATTTCTTCTCTGGACTTTTTCAAAATTTGATTACCTGCTCTCACTGGTCATGGGAGCAAAAAACAAACGAAGGGCACAGCTATTTTTCACTACCTTCTTAAAGTACAAGAGTTCCAAGTTAAAGGATAAATACAATTTATTTGGACATATATAGGTTACTTTTGCAGAGATCAGAGCTGCTAACACATACTAGTAATGGTTGAATTTTTACATATGCATCTTCTTTCCTTTCATGGTCACTGACATTTTCTGTTGGTGTTCCGAGATTAAATGCTGTACGAAATAACACTTGCCCTTAGCCCAGTTCTGATAAATACCACTGACCCAAATTCAGAATCTCCTATGGCAGTGTCAGTGTTTGTTCAGGTGTCCTTCTGATGAACTCTGATGAAAAAGATTGTTTAGGAACAGAAGTGAATGGTCTTTCTTCTGAGAGACAATACTATCAAGGATGCTGAAGAACGGCCCTGAGAACATGCAGAACAGGTTACAGTGATCAAAGTCAGAAAAATAAATGTAATCCAAACCCGTAAGTACTGTCCCAACATAGCAGAACAGGCACATTTTCCTCGAAAAGCAGCAATTTGTAACTTGTTCAGACGTCTCAGCTAGGAGCTTAGTCTGCTTATCTGATTTTTCAGGTCTAGAAGTGCCACAATGCTGCAACTGAAAGTGGACAGATTGTTGTGGCCTCTGTGCTTCAAGACCTGGGAATAAACTAAGAAATTTTTAAAAAACTTACACAGCTCTGAAGTGTCCCCATGGGCAGTTTCAAGTCACCAGACAGACACTCATTCCATGCTGTCTTTTAACTTCCAAAGAGCCTGAATTCAAACTTTCAGACAATGTGAATCTGCACACCAGCAAATAGTAGTTAGAAAGCAGCTATTAACCTGCTGTTATTCTTCCTATTGTTTGTACTGAAATGTTTTCTTGTTCTATTTCACGTAACATTTTCAACCTGTTGGCATTCTTTTATGTAGTGTCTGACCACACTATTGACATTCCTAAAATTCTGGAGAGTCTCAGCTTGTTCCAACTTCCTATGTTACAAGCATCATAAAAATAACCAAGAACTGACCATACAGCATTTGATCCAGAGCATCACAGCTTTATCCGTACATCAAGTAATTTAAAGATGCCCCAATTCTCACTTTTTTCCTACAATAAAATGAAATGAAACAAAAAACCAACCCAAACCCCAACAAAAAACAAAGCCAAAAAAGTCCTTTAAAGTTTATTTTTAGACAACATTTACAATACTATCTATTTCCCTTACTACCATCTGACAGAGCACGCAGGGATACTTAGTGTGTCAGATGAAAGCTTCCTTGTTCATTTTTGTTGGCCTGAGGCCATTTAAAAGTTTTCTTACTCACTGACAGGGAGGAAGGGCAGGGAGAGGCAGGAATGACGACTGCTTGGATTTAGCTTCTTATGAAGAAGCTACATACTCATTTTCAGGGAAAATCTACCTTGTTGCAAATGCACAGCCCATTACCACTAGCAGCAATAGCCACCCTTATTTCTTTAGCAAATGTTAAATTTGTATAGCTGAGCATTAGGCAACTTTCTGGACTTATACACACACAGCTGTAACTGAAAGAAAGAAAACACATCAGGACTAATTAGAGTTCCCTGCTAAAGTGTGTCCCCTGTCCAAACTATTGATACAAGCTTTTGCAGCTCTATTACGATACACATAAGAGTTCCAAAAAGCTAACTATTCAGGTAATACAGATACTTGTATGTCCTTTCCAACTACATTACATACTCACTTGCAGAACAAGCTGTAATATTTTTACTAAATTCAGTATTCCAGGTGTGGCCTGAGTAGAGAGGGAGATGATCCACTGCACTTTAACTCATTGTGTCTGCATGGTTGCCTCCAATGTATCTAACTGTAAATAACTGTTTGGCTGGCAACAGATCAGCTAAGATCCAGGAAGAAAAATTACTGATATTCTCATCAATAAAACCTTCTGCTTGTTGAACCTCCCATGCTTGAGAAATGTCTCCAAGACAGCAACGAAGATTGCAGTTCTGGTGTCCTCAACATAAAAAGGACATGGAACTGTTGGAACAAGTCCAGAGAAGGGCCACAAGGATTATCAGGGGACTGGAGCACCTCCCATATGAAGAGGCTGAGAAAGTTGGGGCTGTTCAGCCTGGAGAAGAGAAGGCTGTGTGGAGACCTCATAGCAGCCTTCCAGTATCTGAAGGGGGCCTGTAGGGATGCTGGAGAGGGACTGTTCATTAGGGACTGTAGTGATAGGACAAGGGGTAACGGGTTAAAAATTAAACAGGGAAGTTTAGGTTGGATATAAGAAGGAAATTCTTTCCTGTTAGGGTGGTGAGGCACTGGAATAGGCTGCCCAGGAAGGTTGTGAATGCTCCATCCCTGGCGGTGTTCAAGACCAGGTTGGACGAGGTCTTGGGTGATATGATTTAGTGTGAGGTGTCCCTGCCCATGGCAGGGGGGGTGGAACTTGATGATCTTAAGGTCCTTTCCAACCCTAACTATTCTATTCTATAAGCAGCTTGAAAGAATTAAAGCTGCATTTACTTTTTTCCAAAATTAATCTGCACTGCTTTTGGCTCCACAGTCTGTTTTTCTGCTTCCATTTTGAAGACTTCTCTCTCATGTAATCAAAATCACCATCAAGATAGAAGTTACATCCTCAGTATCAAGCACCATCTAGGCAATTAACACACGCTAGTTCAACAACTTGCTGACTAACCACTGGCAATTAATTGAAGTTTCTTCCTGTAGTTTTTGGCATGTAGCTTCAACTGACAAAATAAACAGACTGCTGACATGATTCATATTTCCACTGTAGCTGACATCTCTGCTCCACCTGAAATTTTCAGCAACCTTAAATTTAGAAATGGGGAGATGAGACATGCAAATTCCAGGACTCAGAACTTTTACACACCTTCAGCTCCTGCTTCTTCACATCAAATTAAAAAAAAAAAAAAAAAAATCTAGGAAATTCTTTGCCAAGCCTATGTTGCTTCCCTTCCCTGCTTTATTTCTTAAGATAATAATCACAACCTTCAGCTTTCTGCAGGCTAAGCAGAGTTCAGTGAAGAAAAAGGAACCAAGCCGTATTGGAGGCATCGGATTTTGATGCCCCGTTATGTTAAACCCAGCAAACAGGCCCCAGCATCCTAAGAGAAAGAGCATTAGAAATGAATTTCTATCTGGAAAGGGCCACTGTAGAAACAAAACGTAATAACATTCTGGACAAGTAAGGTACATTTGACTAGTATAACAGAGTGATTATGCCTATTTGCATCAGACTGCTATCTATAGGATAAGGTACTGACTTTGATTTCAAAATTGAAATAAAAAAACTTTACTGGGAAGAGAGTAAGGCAGGGAAAAAAAAAAACAAACGTTCAAAGGAGGATTCCTTACCATTGAGTAAGGAAGAAAAAGCATTTATCAGACACAAGGGATTCCGGGAAGCTCTAGCATAGCATTTGCAACAGAATTTGCAAAAAAATATTCAGTGTGCAATACAGACTAATTAATTTAAAGGATTTTTAAATTTAAAGGTAAAGAACCATTGCCACGTGTAAATTCCCAGTGTATTGGGAGGTTTGTTCATTTTTCTAAGAAAAATTTTAGGTTTTGTGTGCCCTTTTTAAAGATTAATTTCCTTAAAGAAAACTTTGGCCTAAACAGCTCAACTTTGTCTTATGTTCTAGTACTTACTTTCAAGATTTAAACCTACAATAGTCATTCATTTGTAAGATACTAAGGACAGGAAAGCTCATTTCTAGTAAGTACTAATAAATGTACTAGTAAGTAGCATTTAAAGTTTCAACAACTATTTTTAAGCAGAAACAAGTGTTGCATAGAAACAGAAAAATGTAAGGAAAGCAATTTAAATCTTCAACTAAAGAAATACATACTGTCTTCTCAGAAAATTTGGTCTCATACTTTGAGAACTCATCTCAAAAGCTTTTTTTATGTTCTACAGATTACAGTACATATTTGATAAAATAAAGGAATTATTATTACAGTCCTGATATGTATTTTAAATCTAGAATAAATACAAGGAATTATCATTACAGTCTTGATACTGATTTTAAATCCAGAACAACAAACTATGGTTATAGATTAAAAATTGTGAAAGTACTGTCAGGGAGATTAAACTACTAACAGGCACCTACCGATAACTATTTCCTTTTTATCTCTCTCACACTACAGAAATTTAAGACAGTGCTTATCCCAGTTATGGTATTCTAAAGCATAACCTTCCCCCAACCTAATAAATTAAGCTAGAACTGAAAGACTTTACTAAAATTTATGAGATATCCTTAAACCATATGAACAACTCGGCCTTCAATGGAAGGCTTAATTAAAACGTTTGGTGACTACATTTTTACATTAAAGCCACATGAAACTCACACTGCAGCAAGACCTGAACTTTGAATTTATGCAGTGTTTATCTGCCCGAGGTTACCAAAAAATCACATCTAACATACCTTGGCAAAAAAGACTGTGAGGTGCGTTTCACTGCCAAGTATCCAAATGGGAAATTTTGGAGATTTCAAATAGGAGCCAACCTAAACAGGTACAACAAAATCAGAAACACAAATCAAACCCAGAAAATTCACCTAGTTAGCGATCAAGTTAATGAGAATTCAGTTAGTGGAGTTCCAACTGCTCTGAATGCAACATCAATGAGATGACAAAACCATCTAAACTACTTAGATTTTAATTTCAACCACTGATTCTTTTTTGACTTGGAAAACAAGATAGCTGATATGATAATTAACTGAAATAAAACAGCAGTGAGATTGTAGTATCAACAATATCCCTTATTTCACCATTGGAGCCATGTTTCAAACTGTACATAAATACTCTTATGCTTAACAATACTACAACTGGATGCTAAATGAGGTAGAAGTCCATACAACTTATTAGCTGGTTTTGGATGAACCAACTCAGAACTGACATTTATGTAATGGACATTTATGTAATGTCCATTTATGTAATGGACAGTTAGTTACAGTCAATACACCAACTACTTAATCCTCTTTAACCCTGAGATAAGCTGCAGGTATTCAATAGAGATTGACAAGAATAATCAAAAAGCCTTTTGAAATTGAGTAGTAACATTGTTTTGAAGTAGTATTTGTAAAGCAAAAAATTTCTCAAATAAAAACCTTAAATCAAGAAACGCACAACAGGAAGAAACAATATGGACTAAGCTGCACTTCAGTTACTTTTGAATGTTCACAGATAAATACATAAGTAACTTTCAGGTCTTGAACATATTCTATTCAGAATACATTTACTTTATAGTCGTTTTACCATATTTACTTATGGCTCTTAAATTAAAGACAGTGATAGCATAAAAAAAACAATAAAACTGCAACATTCATAACAGCAAGCCACTGTGAGACTTTAGAGTTTTATAACCATCTGCGTGACTTGCATTAAGCCTTACTTTAGTAAAAACTTAAGCTTATACCTGGCTATATTACATTGGTATAATAAAGTTCTAATTTCAATAGCAACAATATTTAGTCAGTAAGATGCATTTAACTACTTTATCATGTATCTGTTTTTCATGTGGCATTATAAGGTCCTTTCCAACCCTAACTATTCTATGATTATTCTCAGGTTTAATGTCAACATACTCTGAAAATTCTTTAATCGCAAATTCACAGTGAAGCTGTTAGTAATACTGTCTAAGAGGTCAACAACACCTTAATAGAATTCTTAAATGATGCATAAAACTGCTTACCTTACAATATCTCAGAGATTCCATCAATGTCAAAAAGCCTACTGTTGCCTGTTTATGTATACCAAGAAGTTCTGTTCAAAATAAAGCAAAAAACTTACAAGAAAAATCTGAAAAGACTCTTCTAAGCAGGTTTGTTGTTTTTTTTTAACTTTAAAAATTGATCAAGTAACAACAATTCTAAGAATCATGCAGTTTTAGCAACAATAGCAAATCATCACGATATAGTCAAAAGCTAGTAACAGTTTAATAAGTTCCCTCTCTAAGAGCCAAATGAATAGTTTTACAAGTCTACTGTTGATGGCCTTTTTTCAAAAGTTGATGGATTTGGTAGAATACCAAGTACTTGTAACTTGCACCAGAATTATTCTCAGAAAAATTTAAGAAAAGCAGCTATCTTGAAGAGGAAAGAATCCCATATATATGCATATATGTGTTACCCCACATTCCCCCCCCCCCTTTTTTTTTTTTAAAGGGAGATAGTTCCCTGGTAATTTTTATCCTTTATAATTTCACACTCTGAATAATAAAACAACTTTGCAAATAATAGTTTTGTTTGTAGGAAAGAAAGCATTTACTCTATTTGGCATTCTGTTCCAACTTCCACTTAATGCATCCTACAGCTCTCAAACATACACACAGCTGTCAGGAATAGCTGAAATATTTATGTACAACTGATTGGAAGAGCACTTACAGACCCTTATTGAAGAATAAAAGTTCTTCAAAATTCATGCTTAGAAACTAGCTATAAGATTTGAAGCAGCTCTGGGCTTACATACACATCATCTCAGCAGTGCAAGTATTGTCTACTTGGAACAGCTCTGCTAGGTCCCCAGACTGCCTAAATAAAGAGCAGCACACGCCTGATCCTGCAAATAAACATGGGAACATACACCATGACCAATTTAAAAATATCTATATTGCCTTTTTTCAGAGCACACTGACTTTCTATTTGAAAGTTCCCTCTAAAGCACTAAGTTCCAACTATGTTTTTTAACACTGATCATTCATGTACAACAGCATAAAACTATGACAACCCTTACCGATGGGCTAAAGCCTCAGGACCAGAGCTAGTAAAATAAGCTCTTCTAAATTTTCTGGACTTCCAAAAACCAACTCTGCATTTCACCATAACTCATAGCGCTAGGCATGGTATGCCATGCTCCCTTCACCAACTTCAAGCTTACCTCACCGATTTTTGCAACAGTGCACAAGTTATTATAGTGATGGCTTAGCTTTTTCCTCTACTGTTTAGCAAAAAAATAACCACCCCCCAAAAAAAAACACAACCCAAATAAACAAACCAAACAAACAAAAAAAAGAACACAAAAAAAAAACAAACCCCACCCAACCGAAACCAAACCAAACCCCAACTTCAACAAAACAATTGCCAAAACCTTACAAATACTAACTTATTCCCTACCTTTGTGGCCTGGCAATACAACTGCTTCCTTGGAGTTGTCAGCTATACATATTAAAAGGTTCTTTTTTACAGTGCAGAATTCTTTGATTTGAAACTCTGTTTTTAAGGATTATCTTCAAAATTGACTGGAATTAAAACATTGAGGGGGGGACAGATAATACTTTGCAACAGCCCATTATCTCACTGACTTACAGCTGTGTTGCTATAAACTACCATACACTGAAACAATTCATCCTTTCTTTGAGCTGAGAGCAAGAGAATTAGCTTAATTAAAACACGAAAAACCCACTAATGAAGGATCCTTCAAACTAGGGAAGAGCTATTTTTCAGAAATAGCACATTCATATGTGCAATGAAGGGAAACAAATGGCAGAAGTAAGCAACAGAAAGTTAAAAAATTTTAACACATCACATGTATTTCTTAAAAATCATTCACAGATATCAATCTAAAGTTCAGTCTGCTAAACTAAGGCTTCAGATTTGGGAGCTAATGCTCAGATCAGTACAGCAAAGTCACATATAAATAATACTTAGTACTCAGAAAATGATTTGGAATGATTCTATGATCTAAGTATTTTCTTCCCTTGACAGATAACTGAGTATCTCATAGTCAAGCTACATTCATCGTGTATCTGAAAGCTGTTAGGTAACCTTCAGCCCAGTCACTGGTCTACCCATGCCTCCTTCAGAATTAGTCAACTGAGAAGACAGGAACAAAAGCAAAAATCACTCTTCTACGAGTTACAAGGAAACAAAGGAAATCAAGCTGCTCTAAATCAAGGTTCATCCCTGTTTATACCATCACCTGCCAGAAAAAAAAACAACACACCCCTGCAGGAGATATGGTAATACCAAAGATCACCTAAGAAAATGAATATGTACACCTCTTGTCAGAAAGTTAGTTTCTCCTTTTTCAAAAAGTACTTTTGCAACGTAATCCAATTTCTAAAAAGGGAGAAACCTCAAGCCTTTACAAAAAAAAAAAAATCGGGTCCAAACAAACGACGGTTCTAAAAAATCTAACGATAGCTTCCAACTGTATCGGATACCGCCACCTAGTGACAACATGAACACATGAGGAATTCTTGGACACTACTTAGAAAAAAACTATTACAGCATTTTCTGTATTTATATTCAATTGCTACACGTCACATAAGAATTAAACTCTTTAATAAAAAAGAAAAAATACATCTACCTCCCTATATTCTTCCTATCTTGGGTGATAGGATTTAGCGTAAGGTGTCCCTGCCCACGGCAGGGGGGTTGGAACTAGATGATCTTAAGGTCCTTTCCAACCCTAACGATTCTATGATTCTGTAATTGTGGCAAGAGAAGAGAATATAGTAAGAAGAAAGATTTAAAGGGGAAGACACAGAAAGTTAAAGAAGACGCATCATTCCACTGGTATTCTTATCAGTGGTAACCACGAATAATTCCAGTTAATAACTCCTAGCATATTTGGAAAATATGCAGTACTGCAAGAGTCAGAACTCTGAGTATAATCTGCAAACTACCTGGTAATCCCTGAAGTTCCTAATTTAGCATGTTTTTTTGTCACTGATAAAATTACTGGCAGGACCTTTAAAATGGCTTTAAAATAATTTTAAAGACTTACTTCTTAATTAAAAATTTATTACCTAAACAGCTGAACATGAGGTAAAGCGGCTTCACGTAACTTCTGAATAAAAATTGTAAGGCAAATGCCATTTCAGAAATCCAATTTAGTAAACGTGTTTACTTATGATAACAGCATCACTTAACTAGCATCTTTTCTGTTCCTGCGTTGTGGCTGCATCTTCATACTGCTGCTCCATGCTTCACTGCTGCCCCTGCAAATATGCCATGAACCACATCACATCCATTGCTTTCTGCAGCTCCTTGGCACCACTGTTCCCCCAATGAGAGGGATGCCTCTCCTGTCCCTCAGTTTCAGAAGTTCCTAATTGCAGAAGTACCTGAAATCTTTCCATTATGTTTATACATGGAAAGATAAAGCAGCACTGGCAATCAACTCTGTACAATACTAATGTCAAACCATCCAACTTGTATTTCCTTGACCAGATGAATTTTAGGCAAGTGACCAGTAACCAAACCAGAAAAACGCACAAAAAGCTAACTTCAAAAAACAGTCAGCAAATATATTTAGTACTTGTTATTTTTAAACCTGCAACCTTTCTGCAAGAGAAACTCATAGCACTGGTAGAAAAGATGCCAAAGAAAGTCAAAATGCTAGAGAAATGACTGAAGAAGATGACAAACACGACTGATAAAGGAAATGTGACAATGTATCTAAAATTCAGTCTTGGCTACACAGCTGTGAACAGTACTGGTTGCTCTTCATCCCTCTTGTTGATAGACTACACAAATCACTTTGTAATATACCGATTATAGACTTAGAACAGTGAATTAGCTGGGTTTGACTGTAATTATCCCAAGCATCTGAAGAAAATGGAGGGCTCCCAACATTAGTTAATTTCAATTACTCGACTGGTGAAAAACAGGACATGTAATACAAGATTCTTAAAACGTACAAAAGATTATATTCTGGTCCTTCTCTCACCCCAAAGAGAGACAGATGTTTCTATGGGAGTTCTGTATTTTTAGGGCAGAACTGATGAGAACCTAAATGTGAAATATTACAGAGTGCAAACAGTTCAATATTCTCAGAAAAATAAAACAATTCTAACTTAGGTAACTAACAAATAAGGTCTACCAGACAGAATCTGAAAGACAAGGGGATGAACTGCAAAGATTTCAAAAAAAGTTATATTAAATTGTAAAACAGCAAATTATCCTAGTGCAAAGGAAAGTTGCAAAACAATTAAGATTGATCATAATCTAACAATTCAGACTGATAAATCACAATCTAAAAATCAAAAAGTGATGACCTGGATGACAGAAAGATCATTGTAATAAGCATGCTGATAAACCCAAGATAAACTTTGGAGAAGTAGCAGAGAGGCTGCAAACACTTTCATAATCCAACTGTTCCTGCTTTCAAATAATTTCTGTTTGTCAGATGAAATGCACAAACCCCACAAAAGTTTCCCAGTCATCTCTGTGGCCCTCCACCACACTCACTCCACTACGTCAGTATCTCTCCTGTACTGGGGAGCCCAAACTGGACATAACACTCCAGAGGTGGTCCCACAAGTGCCAGACAGAGGGAAAGAACCATCACTTCCCTCCTCCTAATGCAGCCCACAGTGCAGCTGGCCTTCTTTGCCAGAATGGCACACTGATGCCTCAAGGGCAACTCACTCAGCTCCTTTCCTACAAAGCTGCATCCTAGCCAGCCAGTCCTGCCTTGTGCTCTCGCATAGGCTTATTCCATCCCAGATGCAGGATTTGAGTTTTATGAGGTTCCTGTCAGTCCATTTCTCTAGTCTGATGCAGCTGTTCTGAATAGTGGCCCTATCCCCGTTGTAATGACGAACTTTCACAACTTCCAAAGACTGCATTCCCTTCCATTATTCAGGCCACCAGTTACCATTTCAACCTGCAGCTGACAATCCTGTATTCATCAATATTACCATCAGAGATTTAGTGCAAGTATGTTTTATTTCCACTGGAGGTCTGCTTAAATCAAAGGACAGTAAACAAGGAGACTATCAAAACAGAAATAGAGCACAGAGCATATTCCAAATCTGTAGGTCACAGTAAAAATATGAACAAGCATAAAACAGAATCAACTTACTCATTCCTGAACATTCTCTGTCTCCATCCCACACATTAGAAACAGCATGCCCCGTCAACAGGAGGTTAATCAAACTTTGGCTACATAACAGAAAGAAATAGCCTATCAAAAGGGATATAAAATTTATTTCTGAAAAAGTGGTTAACTCTAACAAATGAAAAAATATTGTATTATCTGGTCAGCTAAGCAAGTATTACGTATATTCCTTTAATTAGCTTGTATTTCTAATTCAGTGATGCTAATACTATCTCTACTCTTTCAACCAACACCTTGATATAAAAATGTAGCTTCGCATTTCAGAATTATTCCTCTGAAAATTCACCAATAACAGAAGCATTTCCTCAGAAATGTGTTACTTTTAGCTATTTTAAAGTTATGGTTGACTCTTTGTTGTCATATCAGTAATTTCCTAGAAGAATGATCAGCTACAGAAACAAAAAAAAAAATAGCCCACTAATCTATTTCAAGAGGCAGCAACCATATTTTGCAGCTTACCTTCCATGACCATAAACGGGATCTATCAATGGCTCAGCTGCATCTTCAATTTCATTTTTAATATTTTCAATACCCTGCCGAAAAATTACAAACTTTTTTCTCTTTTAAGGAATAACTTGCCACATTTACAACAACAGAATGCAACAGTAAAACATTAGGAGGTTGATGCCCTTATATGAACTGATACCTAAAGACACTTCATTTAGTAAGAGATGTTGGGGATTTATGAGGAAATATGTTTCCAAAATATGTAATTCTATCATTAAAGGAGAAAAAAAAAAAAGGACTGAGGTTTTCAGGTTTATATGCTGGAAATGAACTGCAACATGGAATGAAGACACCATTCCATGCATTTGTCTAGATTTTATTCAGTTTATCAGTTTAGTGTTCACCTTTTATGGAAAAAAAAGGTTATATGATCAAACTTTCTCTTAAAAAAGAAAAGCACACACACATAAAAAGCATCAAACAGCCCACAAACCTTTGTGAGTATTACAGAATACAGAAAGAGCAATACACCAAATCTGTTTGTCCACACCGAATACTGATCCCAAACTGCATCCTTCATTTCAGGGAAGCTTTTGAATGCTCGTTTACTAAAGACAGAAAAACCCAACAAAAAAGAAGAATGTATTTAGATGAGGCATTAGCATAGTGTCACAAAGCACAAATAAGAACTACTAATACCTAACATGATTAGTGTCACAAAGCACAAATAAGAACTACTAATACCCAACATGAAAATATCCAAGTAAAAGCTGAGTAAAACTGGTGTTATATACAGAATGACATAGCAGCTGTTCTAGGGTTACTATAACTGCCATAAAGTCATGAGTATTTACCCATCAGAAGATGAATAATTCTGGAGCAATGTGCAAAAATGAACAATTCTGGAGCAATGTGCAAAAATGAACACAGTTTTTATATGCAAACACTAACCATAAAGTTACACACACGTGAAATAGCAGAGAGGGCTGAACCAGTAATTCTACAACACACTGTTACTGAAACTGAATAGTCTATATATCACCAAAATAAATTTGCATTACACAGCATTCTGAAAGATTTTCAGTCCATAAACAGTGGCGAAAAAAATCTTCATGTAAGAACATCTTTCAGGCTTTCAAAGTAATTATTTCATTTCCCAGGAAAATTTGATTTTGTTAAACTAGCTTTGGTAAAAACCAGTATGTTCAAAACCACGAGTGGTATGTTAACATCTGGGAAACTTATCTAGTTCTATAATAGGGTTGCTGTCTGGATGATAAGGTAACTCCAGGTGATCATATATTTAAAAAGAAAAAAAAAAAAAGGAATTTGAAAAAAAAAAAAAGAGGAAATGAAAAGATCCATCAAGGTTCCAATGCACTTTCTATTTCTTGGGCTATTTCTTGGGACAGAGCTAAATACTTTTCGTAACACAAACATCAGGTCATACTGAGTAACTCAAACTAGATCACACTCTCTGCTTATCTTGCATAAACTTGTGTGTTAATTTCTTTCACACTTTTATTAAGTATTGTTTAAAAAAAATAAACAGCTACAAAAATATATATCCATACAAGGGTTTATTCTGGCTAACATTTGAGATTTTTAATCTACCTTTCATTATCAATAGGTATGCATGGCACTCAAGGTATGCAAGGCAAAGTTAGTTCTGAAATCCATCATTCGTCTTGCTCTGAAGGCATATGCCAGGGCTAATTTTCAGTGAGAAAGGCTGAGAAAAACTGAAGTGAGTACCACAAGTTCAAAGATGGAGGAGATGAGTGGAAGGGGTAGGGGGAGCAGGAAATTAGTGTTTTGATCAGATAACGTTAAGAGAAATTGTATATCTTCCTCTTTCATCTTTCTTCATATGATGATGGGTTTAAAGAACAAACTATAATTACTACTGATATGATAACCAGTAGTTGTTGTAGTTCTAATTAGCAACATTTTCCATCTCAACTGTTTTTTTTAAGTTCTGTTGCTCTTTATTTCCTCTTTGGGGATTTATTTGTATAATGATTACAACAATTACTAGAACTGTAAGCTCTGCATTTAGACCCCCAGAAGACAGCAGTTTTTAAAGCATGAAACAAAAATCAGTCTCAGAAATGAAATATTCTTACAAATGTTTCTTATGTTGTCTCAAATAAGGAGAAATACTACGTCACATTTTTTCAGTATATATAAAGTTTTTCAGCTAGAATTACTTGTGAAGACTATGTATAAATACTGAGGATTAACATCTTCAACTTAAACGTGAATCTTAATGAGATGTGCTCGTATACTTGAAAAGCACAAGTTATTTGGCAAATTTCCCACATTACATTGCTCCAGTTTTATTTTAAAGCTAATGCTTATGCTCAAAATATTCCATTTTAAACAGCAAAATGCAAAGAAAAACCACCAAAACCCCCAAACCAAAATTTGAAATATAAGCTTAACCTGATGTGTAACACAAAAAGTTTCTGAACATACCCCTTTCAGGGCTGTGAATATTAGTGTTATTTCAAAATATTGTATTTTAAATGTTCCAACATATTACTTACTGAATTAATGCATGAAATCGCTCAAAGCCAAGCTCTTCGACAGCCAAGGCAGCTATACACAAGAGACACTTTTCAGCACTACACATGGCAAAAAAATGACACAAGATACACACAGCAAGCTAGTATACTTTCAAGCTTTAATTATATTTTTAATCCTCCCTTGAGATTGAATTTTTTAAAGTGATTAGTATAAAATAATTCACTGCACCATTAAGATTCCACCATACAAATTAGTGAGAACATTTCTATTTGGACTAATCAATTTATTAAAAACACAAAGCTACTGGAGTGGGTAGCCTTGAAAATATTTGTCAAATACTAAGCACTTGTTTACAAAACATGGCTGTCACAAAGTCATCAAGCATATGCACACTGTAAATATAATTTTGCAGGTCAAGAAGAAGTACTATCTCCTAGAAAAGCAAGCATGATTATTTGGATTAATTTATCAATGTAGGTAAGCTGTATTTTTAATTCATGTATACATATCTATTACCAAAATTTTGTGGGTTTTTTTCCCTTTTAATGTCTAGTTATTACAAACAAATAGAATTATTCTAAACAGTGTTATACATCCTATTTTTAAAGGAATTCTCAATGGTTTCTTTTAATAATGAATAAACAGCCTTTCAAATAAGATTTGCGTCTAAGACAGAAAAAAAATACAGCATTAGTGTCTTCCCAAGTTCAACACAGGCTTTATACCTTTGTTCCCCTCAACATTTCCAAACCAAAGAGATGAAATAAACTTTTAAAATCAAATTTGTTTTTTACCAAGGGGAAGTCATACTTCCCAGTTGTGCAATTATCAAATTCTATAGGCTTTCAAATATTAAGACTCTAGCAGTCTTTAGTGCCCCTTAGGTCCACAAGGACTTTATATTCTTACTAGAAGAATAATACAAATGAGCCTTCTGATAAACGCCACTTAATGATGAATATCTAAAAAATGTCTGACCACATAGCTACTGAATTTGGCTGCATTCAACTCATTAAAGACCTGAAGTCATAAGGCCAATACTACTGATTAATTCTTCCCACAAGAATTCTAGGAAAGACTTTTTATGCCCCTTCTGATTATGTTTTGAAAGATGCACTTGACTCTCCTAAATGCAAATACAACAGTTACTGCAGCAATAGAATACTTTTATTTTCTACTTTAGAAATAATGCAGCAGTAGTCCTAAGAGTGTTAGGTTTTGACTTTTGAAAAACTACAGAGTCCGTAAAATTACACTACTAAGAGCAGAACTAAACTTAAGAAAATTTTTAAGACTTTAATTTAAAATATGAAATAATGAATCTAAACTGCAGGAAATGCTCCAGGAACTAACCCTGATGCAAGAATGTATGTTTTGTAAACAGAAAGTTAGAGGGACTAAATCATATAAAGCAGTCTTTGAACCTGGGAACTTGCACTACTACAGCCAATGCATGGCCAACAAGAAGTCATTGGTATACACCACAAAAGCAGATGAAAAATGCTATTGCATTCAGTAAGTGTGCTCGAATCCACCTTTTGTTCACACAGCAGGATGATAGGCAGTTTCATTCTGTTACTACAGAACAGAGTGAAATGGTAAGAGAACTACTATTTGAAACAAACGGAAAGAAGTAGAAATCCTAAAGAAAAGTGTAACTATATGTAATCCAAACAATGCTAAATAAAGACAGTGCTTAGACGAGAGGAAGAGAACAAATAGCATTAGAACATGAGCTGTACGAGAGACACAACTGGATAGAAACTCATGCTGTGTCTAATGATATTTCATGGTTTTATTATAAACACATTCCCACATTCAATTCCCAATTAGCAGTAGCCTGCCACGTGGAATTGTATTTGTAATACCCTCCCACGCATCTCTTAAGTCCTACCAACTATGACAATGCCAGTTCCTATTTTTATTGATTACAGCAACCAAGCATGAAATAAGTTTATTCCTTTGCACTAGTAGTAACAGAACTCTACATAATTAATAATACCTTCTTCTCCACATCTTTGTCCCAAGCTTAACCAGGCAAGAAGCTAGTCTAGCAGGACAGAAAAGAAAAACAAAACAAAAAACCCTAACAAATACATATTAAATCAGGAAGTGTATTGCATTATACATATAAAGTAAAATACTGTTTGAACTGTAAAATACATATAAGAGGTACATTCAGTGTCTAGCAAGGAATGTAGGATAAGAACAATGAAGATCAACATTGCTCATAACAAAAGTAGACTTCATGCTGTGTATCCTGCTGTTCCTAAGAACATTCCATGGTACTGAGGACAAGTCATGCAGAACTTGTAGACTTGTACAGAAATATGAAAAATATAGATATGTAACAGAATGGATTAGTTCATTAATTGTGTGTTGAGAGCAATTACTGTGTGTTTAACAAGACCTTCTGCTAAACAGTTTCTACAGTTAAAAGTTCTTTAGAATAAGGCAATATATTAATAAACAGGACAGTAAAAGTGCATGGATTACTTCACTTTTTCTTCAAAGGAAGCTTCATAATATGAGAAAAAGTTTCAGACAACTAAAAAAATCCACAGAAATTAGGAATTTCAGTTATAACTGCCTTATCTTGCAAAGGAAAATTTTCTTTTTTCTTTTAAAACCAAAAGCTGTATCTACAACTTTCTCTATACTTTTTCCTAATACAAAACCCCTGCTTACGTGGTGACCAGTTTTTTTCAATTAAGTAACATTTTAATTATTGTTTGAGCCTTCTAAAGCACATGGAGCATCTGACAGAAGCAGATGAAGATGACTTGTAACACAAAGAGCTCCAGCACTACTAATTGCTATAGCTAGCTGTGCACATATAAATCTACTTGCAAAATTCTGACTTTGTAGTTATGCCACAAACTGCAGAATAAAATATTCGTTCTATCAAAAGATGGCACCTTTATAAGCATGTTCTCATGCAAAAAGCTTTTCATACTTCTGAAGGGACACATTTGGAACAAAAACTGAAAGAGGCTTATCTTTTAAGATGTTAGGTATCTCCTAATAAAAGATTAATAAATACATGTCTCAATGATCATGTGTGCATAGATAAACTTCCCATGTCACTGGCTCAACAGCAGTTAGATGACTAGATGTTGTATCTTAGCACAACAGATGATGTATACTAGATCCTGATGTTAGTGATTAATCATAGAATCTCCCATTAGAAGGGACCCATAAGGATCATCAAGTCCAACCCCTCACTCCTCACAGGTCTACCTAACACTAAATCACGTGATTAAGAGTGTCCTCCAATTGCTTCTTCTGACAGTCTTGGTGCTGACTGACCTCTCTTTCAGTGAATAACATTTTCCTAATGTCCAAACTGAACAGCCCCTGACACAGCTTCATTCCATTTCCTCATGTCCTATCATTGGTTACCAGGGAGATCCTCTCTGGAAGACCTCCCCCTCTGCTGCCCCCCCTAAGGAAGTTGTGTACTGTGATGAGGTCACCCCTCAGCCTTCTTTTCTCCAAGCTATAAACAAAACAAGTGACCTCAGCTGCTCCCCATAAGTCCTGCCCTCAAGACCTTTCACCACCTTGGTCACTCTCCTCTGGACACACTCTAATAGCTTACTGACCTTCTCCTATTTAGATGTCCAAAACTGCACACAGTACTCAACAGGGGGCCTCACCATTGCAGTGTAGAGTGGGATAATGACCTTCCTCAACCAGATAGCTGTGCTGTGCTTGATGCACCCTAGGACACATTTGGCCCTTTTAACTGCCAGGGCACACTTAACTCATGTTCAATTTGCCATCAACCCAACCCCCAATTTAATGCCTTGGATGGAACAACTGTACAGAATCTTCTTCAAACTGTTTGGGAAACAATAGTTATGACAGTTATTGCAGTTGTGCAAAGTATCAAGCTGGATATGAAGGAATCAAGACATTTCCAAAAAACAGGTAACAAAAAAATTCTAACTCAAAAAAACTAAAACAAAACCCTCTTTAATCTACTAGATTTGATTAAGCTGTTTTGGTACTGCACATAATCAAAAGAAAAAAGACTACTTTTACATAACAGGGGATCCAGAATATTTTATAGCAGATCAAGCACTGCAGAATTTCCTAAAAAAACTCTTCCAAAATAAAGCAACAAGTGACACATCAAAATATTCCTCCAGTGTTAGGAAGCATATAGATTTTTTCAAATTAAAGTCACACCAGGTCCCAATAAATAACAAAATAAAATTGAAAAATTACGGAAATTGCTCAAATTCAAAAGAAACACGTTAGAACTCCAGTTATAGATAGCACATTCCTTTCAACAAGAAGGATCAATGCCTCTGATTATAACAGACAAAAAACCATCTCTTGCTAATGGAATCACAAAGGCGAAAAAAAAACAACTGTGTAACAACAATGAGCACTGCCCCTCAAAAAAAAAAAAAAGTAATACTTCAGTAAGAGATGGGTAACTTAGTATAGAAATACATCTTACAAGGCTGCTCCTCTTGACGACTAGATTCTGCAGGACTTTCAGAAATACTAGCAGTTTCTTCAGTTGTTTTTCCTCTTATCCACGTTGCCAGAGAGTACGACTCTGAATTATCAGAGCAAGCCATTTCCAAAATGTCACATAATGTATGACAGAGAAGGTTCTTCTGGTCCTCTTCTGAAAGATCAGAAACCTACATGAGTTCAGTTGCTGCTAATCAGTACGTTATATAAGACACTAGGATCTTTTTTAATACATTGTTATCTAAATAATTGAGTTTATTACTTTTATCTTATTAATTATTAATGTTAATTGCTGTTGGACTATACTGGACCAAATAGTTATAAAGCTGTCTTTAGAAAAATGTGGTTTAATATGATTTCTAATCCATTTCCTTTGCTAATAATAGATTTCAATTAAATATTTATAAAACACGGAAGTACTATGGACAGGCACAGACCTCACAAATGGGAGTTTAGAGACATGTATACATACTGTATGACTCAAAATGGCATGGAAGCACAGTTTAAAATATACAATATTTTGAAGTCTTTGTACTGGGACATGCTTTACAAATAATTCAAATGGAAAAAATAAGGAGAAAAAGAAGACATCTCAGTACCTGGACAGTCTCTCCAATTAGACTTCTCACTGGTAAAAAGCCTCTTCAAAAGGAATGCCTTTGTTATCAAAGCATAAAATAATATTAAAATACAAGACACACCAACTTTTACATTGTGTCACAGAGCATTTCTGTACATTGTTAGAAGGGTTTCAAGATGCTCATCATTTAGTAGGAGACCCTGAGCCTGAACTGTTTACTGATTTTTCCCATTCAAACGAACTACAAAGGTAGCGTCATACTTGATCGAGTTTATATCTCGAGCGTGCTTCAAATACACAGAGGGTATATCTACATAAACATCTCCAGACTCAAAGGACTGCATTAATGGAGTAGAAAGCCCATCTCTTTTAACCACTGCAACTCATAATTCACATATCAGAATAACAAAAAACTATGCATATGTATATCCCTGCTTTGTTTTCCATCAACACTAATGCTGTAATTAGAAGAACAGACTCAAAGAGAAGGAGCAATGAAAGAAAAAATTTTGGCAAGTAGACTCCTGGTCTTTGTAATTACTCTGTTAAGATGCTGTTTCAGGTACTTGTAGCACCTTAAAAATAGATGCTTCAACTTTCACTTCTTCCCTTACAGAACTCACTCTGTTTTCCCATCACAGATCTTTTACATATCTTTTTTAGAAATCCATAGCAGCAGTAGGCATTGCAAGATCTCTCTGATCACTTCCTCCATCCCTACATCTAATTCATCTCACTTTTAAACATGCTTTAACTACTTAATTTAAAGGAAGTTTAACTACATATAAAACTGCAAATCCACTGTCGATAAAACCATTCAATACTGTAAAGACTTGGCACTGCCTTTAAGGAGCCAACTGGTCCTATTCTTTACTCCCTCCACTCCTCCAAATTAAAGATTTGTAATTCTAACATCAGAGACACTGCACATCTGTTTTTAAGACCACAGAACTAGACACAGCCATGTTACAGAGTGCAATTCATAATATAACATTTTTCTATTGACTGTTTACAACTACACAAGCAGTGCTTCTTCCTGTGGTACAAGTCTTTTGGTGTGACCAGTGTCTATAACATCCAGAGACGTTCCACAACATGAGTTGTCTGACTGAGATACCTCCCAGTTCATGATCCAATTAACTCTGCTACATGACTTTAATTTCCACTATCAGTGGGCAAGGCCTCAACACAGGCCTAGACACACCTGCAGAATTTGATCTGTGTGTTAAGAATGAGTCAAGAGCAGGTTACCAAAAGAGTAATCTGACCCATGACTCGGTGTCTGCCTGATTCTACAGGGTGCTCCTGAGAGAATCAGAGCAGTCACAGATTAGACAAACTGCTCTAGCAGAACAGACCCAGCCTACAGGTCATATAACCTGTACAGGAGTCACAAGTGCCCTAGAAACTTAGAAGTGGAAGAAGAAAACAAAAACAAAAAAATAATCACAATCACAGTTGGTTGAGCACATCTGACGCACAAGTGAAATCCTAAACATGTATCCAGAATAAAAATATATGCACCTGATATACTTCAATTATTCTGCTAACATTTCCCCTTTTCTCACATAGCAAACCTTGACAGGTTCAAAAACGCATTACTTCAAATCCTTCTAATAGAGTTTGCTAAAGCAGCCATTGTGACACATATATTACCCTTCTTAAGGACAGGGAATTTGACAGATGAGAAAGGATTAGGATTACATTTATATCTGATCTTTTACTTCTCTCCTCTACCCTGCACTACCCACTTCCAAGTTAACCTCTGCTTGGATCAACCTGCACCACTTCCTCAAATTTCACTTCTGTAAAATTATAGTTCAAAATCAGACCATCTCTGCCTTTCTACCAAGTTTTCTGTCTCCTCCACACTGTATTATGAAACCCAAATACAACTGATCTGCAATTCTTTTAATATTTATTTTAGTTCCACATACATAAAGAATAGATTTTGGGCTTACTAATTCTAAACCATTTCTACAATAAAAACATCTTACCTGCACTGGTGCAATCACTGCACAAGGGCCACCTTCAAATTGTTCTAATGCAGTTGATTCAGATTCACTAAAGACAAATCCTGTCAAATGAAAAATTAGTATATTTAGTGAAATATGTAAACAAGCACGTTTATATATACTCCTTCCCTAACAGAAATGACACCTGATTTATTCTCCTCTACAAGTTAGGTAAGTTTTCAAGATTTTTTTTCCTTCTGATTATGCAAAAGGATGTAGTTCAACTATTTGAAGAAAAAAAAAAAAGTCATGAATACAGGTGAAAGCACAGAAATTATTTATCTCAGCAATGAAATCATGACCAAAAGGGGACAGCTAGGGTTTTAAAGACAAGGATTCTTAACAGCAAAACTGTCACTAGGACACATTTGGCTGAATACATTAACCATAATTTTATTAGGATTTCTTATATATAAAATAAAAATTGTGGTAATATTTTGTTTTACATATGTAAGATAAAGGTTGTCTTTGGACCCTCACTGAACATGAATGTTTCTCTTCCCTATGAAGGGCACAGTATGTAACCCACTGAACTCATTTCTGGCTTATTATTGCTTCCTGTTAAGACTGAATTATGCTGAATAACTGAAATATTCACTTGTAACCACTGAACCAAGCCTCTTATGGGTGTTCTTTCAGATAAGATACACTATATTTATTGAGATGCAAAATCACTCATTTCCCCCCTCCCCCCAACCTTTAATGTATTTGTATTTCAGAATTACCTTACTGCCATGTAACAGAGCAAATGCTGGAGCAATTACTGCAAAATTGTTTGTTACTACCTTGCCCCTTAAACTTTTCTTCAAGATGCGGTGATTCACAGCTTGCATTTCTCACAGATAAGTGCATATACATGGATAATTACCTCAATAAAGCAGACACCCAGCAACCTACCCACAGTGAGTGATAGTTTGCATTATTTTCTAAGTGCTGATAAGATTGTGTTGAAGTTACTCTAGTTCAATGTAATCTAGAAACCATGCAACTGTAGTCAGCAACCCAGCAAGCACAAGCAAGTAGAGGTAGGGAGTAAAGGGACACACATGCACATTTTCGCAGCAGTGTCAGGCTTAGCACAAAGAATATTCAGTGCTGCTTTCCCACACTTTCTCCTCTTCCCAATTCTGTATCATTGCATGCTGCCATATCAAAAGCATCTCTAATCCCTGGATGTGAATATGTACTGGGGAAATGCATTTCCCCAGTGCAGACTTCCACACTATTGCATGACAGCTATAACATCCAAACCAGCACAAGAGGATTACTGCACGGTCTGTGGGCCATATTTCATCACATAAATAACTGTTGTTCAACGACAATGTGATTTTATTTTAAAAGGATGGATCATTGTAGCAGTTCTTTTAAAAAAATGGGGTTTCCCTTGTGTCTGACTGAAGGCTTCAGGGTTTGTTTTTTTTTTTTTAACTGAATGTGCAAATGTGCATTACAGACGTTTATTTTGTATCTGAATCCCATATGCAGATGAATCCTCCATACTTAAGTCCCCAACATCACCTAATGTAGCAACAAAGCTCCATTAACCCGTACTTCAACCAAAGTCTGCACTCATTAAGCCTGTTAACATGCTTCAATAAGAAATATCACTAATCCTTTAAACTTTCCAAATTAGTTTACGCAGGCTTATGATAGTAAAAGCTAAGTCATCTTCTACTTTGAAGCGTGACAGCATGCCATCTGAACACACCGCAACCGCCAGGCTTTTTTTAGTTGTTTTAATGATTTAGCCACTGCAGAAGAAAAACATACTTGGATGTGGTACCACTCAACCACATTTAAGAAATCTTGAATTTGTTTCACATTCTTCAGGCTTCTTATAGAAGGCATGAGCTGTCTCAGATTAAACCTGCTCTATTTTTCGTAACTGCTACCTAAAAATAAAGAAAATCGAGTATGACCCTCCAGAGTGAACACAAATTTGAGGTAGATAATTCAAAATTGATATTACACAGAATTTAACAGAATCCAACCAAAGGAAAAAAACCACGCTTCATGCCTAACAGAATACTTAATTTCTTCTTACCTAAATGTTGCTTAATGGATAGTAAACATCAATTTTGTTCTAGAAGCTGTTAAGACCTTAAAAGTTAAGTGCTTCAGGGATATTAGTCTTACTCTCTTTTTTAAAACTTCTACAAAATCTGAAGTCAGCTCAGGCAAAATTTCAAAACCCTATAGTGTGAAGTCCAGCTGGGTTAAAGGATACCGCAGCCTGCAATCACACCTAGTTACCTTTCTATCCTCCACAGTAATTACACCTTGGGCAATCTCTATAAACATCCATCAACTCCAGGCTCATCCATGTGATTCATAGGAATGGCCTGGCCACCATTTAATCTACCACCCAAGACTAGCAGCTCTAATCCAGACTAATTTATACTTAAGAGCGAGTGGGCTGCAGCTAAATGCAGCCAAAAGCATTTAAAAAAAACCAAAAACAAAAACAACAACAACAACAACAACAACAAAAAAAAAAACAAAAAACTACCTCCTTGTTATCCATTACTATAATTATTTACCTATAAGAAATGTAAAATAGTACAATCATCATTCATCTTCCTTTTAATTTATAACCCTATTAAAAGCTCCATTAACCCCAATTTTTTTTTTTTCCAACATCACTACTGTTCTACAGCTTTGACCTCATTGACCCCATTTTTTTTTCCAATTTCACTACTGTTCTACTGCTTTAACCTTTTTTCTGGGCAGGGGGACAAGCAGGTCTAGATTCCATGTTTCTTTCTATACCTAACTGTTAAATCTTCTACATATAGTTTGCCAAAATTAATGTATGGCTTAGTTACTTACTCTTGGTTTTCATCTAACACTTCACATCATTGCCCAAAGCACTACAAAACACATTCTTTCATTATGACAGCCCCACTGCTTTCCTGCATCTCTTTATTATTTGCCTATTTCTCAAAATACTGCTGTGTTGTGTTTTTTTTTTACATCCAAGACAGTGTAGACATCAGTAACACTCATTTTACAAAGGATACCGCACACCTTCACTGTTTTCACTCTGTATGAGAATGAATGAAAGAAACAAAGGGAGTAGCTAAAGAGCATGAAACATTAACCTTGCTCTATCTCCGATCAAACTAGCTACAAAGATGCTGAGCTATTGCTTTTTTTGTCCTGTTCTCTGCAGAGCCGGCCTCTTGCCATGGAACCACATTTCTTTTTCTCTTTTGGAATACCAAAATGCCTGACAGGAACATGAGAACAAGCCATTATTACTCAAATACAAGGTTTACAACATGTCTTAATGTTTCATCCTTTTTCTAGAGCTGGGTGTAGAATGACAGACACATTTTGCATGTGGCTTTGGGTTTTCAAAGTGTGTTTTTATTGTAAACAAACTCCTGAAATTTTCTGTAGGGAAAAAAAATCCCAAATCAAACCAAACAGCCTTTTCTCACACACACAGAAAGAAAGGAGTACTACAGCAGTACCACAACAAAACTCCCACTTAATGGGTTGTGGATAAAGAGCAAGGAAGTCCTGGAAGGATTTGAGGAACGTTTCCAAATTACCTAGTAGGCTAGCACTAAACTGGGCAAAAAGCTTCCAGAAAACAAGATAAAATTCCAATGCATCTGCTTTCTTTCACACCTTTGTAAGAACTCAAACTCTTTTTGACTGAAACTTCTGAATCCAAACCCTGATAAAAGCCTTCAATGGCAGCATTCCTCAAGACATTTTATTTTCTTGAAGCCCATCAGACTTGCCTAGAATAAAGAATGGACTCACTAGCACTGTTACTTTTCTTGAAGTAAGGACAGTGTCTTTCCAGATATTCCTTTCTGGGCCTAGGCAGCAGGAAAGAGTTTCAGGGCTCACTAATTTTTTAGGTAACTGTGTTACAGGGCATTTCAAATTCTCACTGCTCTGCGGGTATTCCAATTACATCATTAGTCACCAGGCCCATTAGCCAGAAAATACAATCTTAAAAGCTTCACTTACATGTTCACACCCCATTTTTTCACAGTGAATGGTATCATCTATTCTCTTTCCAGTTTAACAGTGCTGAAAGGGCTGTTATTTACATACATAGTCTCTCAAAAACCTGTATTTCTGTTCCAAAGCCTAACTTTTCATTCAGCAAGCTTCACAAGAGGTTTTGAAACCTTCAGAATGAACCCATTATTTTAAGACAACTCTGTATTATGTTAATGCATTAAATAAACATTTAAATCTCATATACAATAGAAAGGCATTTGGCAGCCTAAAACAGCAAGATGTGGTTATTTTCTCTGTAAATAGTGTCATTACCCCAAAACCAATACGCTACTCCAAGAGAGGAAAGAAGAAAAAGGTTTACCAGTGTAAAACTGAGAACAGACTTCTTCCCTAGAGAAGGCTTTTAGGTAACTCTTCTCAGCACCATGTTCCCACTGTTTTTCCAAAAGCTACTGTTGTCTCACATTTAACAGTAGTATGCCTTGCGTTAGCAAGACAGACCGCTTCTTACAGGTGGAATTAGCAAATCTATTTAAACAGAAACACCTTCTACTTATACAGAAGCTCTAAGTTGGTGGTCATCAGTACTTGTTTCTTTGAAGGCCTTCTCACATGATGTTAAAATTCCTGGCCGCAAGTCTGGTTTCTAATTTATTACTTAATTTTTACAGATGCCTTAAAAGCAGCCCATAGACCATGACTTGAAGACCACTCATCAAGGTTTAATTTGCTAAGTGTGACTGGCATCTGTAAAGCAGAAGCTCCAACAGCAGTTTCACCAGACGATTTGCAGAGGCAATACTCACAGCAGACAAGCAGCAACAAGTAGGCAGAGGTCAGCCAACAGGTGTAACCACCTCCTCCACCTGTTTGTACAATCCACACTTGTCTATACTCTAACTGTGAATAATAAATGAAAAATGCTTTTCTTCCTGATTAACTGTTTACAAGTAATATGGAACTCAGAGATGGAAAGCAGACAAGTGCAAATATTCTATTAATCACAGCCATCAGAACATTTTACAAGAATTACAGAGATATCAATCACTATTTCTCTTCCATCACCCAAATTAATTTAAATTAAACTCAACACAGAGGAACACTTCTCAAATTGCTACTTCTATTTAAGACTTTAAAGAATGGCAAGTGTGCTCCTGCTCAAAATATATCTGCTTGTTTGGTAAAGATATTATTTCCTAGTAACCTTGATCTAATCATGGTCTAACAATATTATAGCTCCAATGACTAAACTCACTACTACAGAACCTAACTCCTCAACCAAGGATGTAACAAAAGCCAATCTGGCGATGTTTCAAAGTAGCGGACCAAAACCAGAGTTCCAAGCATGTAATAAACAGGAAACCTACAGAGAAGAGGGGAGAATGACAGCTTGTCTTTTCTATCTACTCTTCCAGCTCTCAGGCTGAAAGAGGATCTAGATAAAACACTTTTTTACATTGTACGTTATAGTTCATATACATGAACTATAGTATTAAAACTATATATACATATACATGAACTATAGTATTAAAACTTTCCCGCAATGCTTCTGAAGTTAAATAGTTATTTTGAGAAGACTGGCGCATACCTTTCTTTCCAAAGACCAGTGGGAAAACAGTTTAAGTAATTTCTAAAGGACGCTGCACCCAAACATGCCAGACATTCATAGCTGTGTAGACCTGATGCTACGTGCCTTAGGGCTGATCTGAAGAGTACCTCCATGAACAGCATTTGTCTCTTGGGTCAATGAAGAAAATAACTCCTAACAACAGTATGTTTCTTTAGGGTTCAGTCCTCCCTAACTCCTTCCCAAGTCATCATATTCATGCCAGGAAACACTGAAGTACAGAACCAAGCCTTTGCACTACATTCTCTGATTCTGTAGATACTGTTTTCCAAAATCACAAAGTTCAAACTGCAAATTCTTCTGCAACCATAAAAAGCTATTTAAAACAAACAAACAAACAAAAAAAAACACCAAAACAACCAACCAAAAACCAACTGCAACAACAGCTTTGCAACCATGCCTTTAAATCAGGAATCAAACCAGTATATTTAAAACTGCCAATGCAGCAAACTGTGGGAGTTAGTCACTAACTTCAAACAGCACAGCATGCTAGCTAGGTCAGTTCTGTTAACTGCCTACAGAACCCAGAACAGCCTGCCCTCAGTTCTGACCAAACAACTATGATGGTTAATGAGTTTGGGGCATGACAAGGATTCCCAGAACACTGCTATCTTTACTGAGAAACTGGCTGCTTCGAGTCTTACATTACTCAACACCCTCCCTGCTCTCTACTTTTCTTTCCAACTGTAAATTATAATTCTTAACTTCCAAATGGTTTGAGAAAGGATCAGACAACATTCAGAAAGTATCTGAAATAAATACCAGTGTTGGCATGACACCCTAAGAAAACTCAAACCCAAACTACAAAAAAAAAACCAAGCACCAGACCAGTTCTATGATACTTTCCGTACATACGACGTGAAACAAGGGTGTGTCTTTTAAACTTTGTGGAAATAATAAAGCTTGATTTTTATGCTCGAGGTTTTTTTAATCTTGATGAGTCAGTTTTGCAAAACTCCTCTGTAGTAAGTAAATGGTGCAGAACTTTTTCAACAGAACAGAAATCGAAAGTTGGGTAAATATATTATGCTGCTACACAATATAAAGAACCAAGACTGACTTTCTTGATTCCCAGCACAAATCCTCCAAACAACACACTAGCTTACTGTCATGCGGTTTTACTACATGAAATTGACTATAGTAAAGAGGATACAGAGAAGGGAACAGATATACTACACAGTATAGTTACAGGACTTTTCCCAAAGACAGTTAAGAAATAATAGCTCCTTTCCAGGACCCACCAAGAACACAAGGCCTGTTCCATTAATCTTTCACAGGATCACATATGTGGGACATCACAACACACATTCCAGTAGATACTGAAACTGCTAAAATTTCTTATACAAACTATCCTGAAAAATGTCAATTTTGGTATAACATTACTAGTTAAAGAAATAATTAAACATTTTAACACTACTTTTTCTGACTTCGCAAAAACCTTGTACTGAAACAGAAATACTCGACCAAAACTTGAGATATTTTAAGAAATAATTATATTTCAATTCAAATAATTGATTCAGTAAAAAAAAAGTAGCACTTTATTAGGCCTGCTTAAATTCTAGACCTTAGAAGGAATTTAGCACTTTTCCCCCCAACTATTTCTCACTGAATTATCTGAACACAAATCAACCAATGGAAAAAGACAGGAGAGTCTCTGTGTACTCTGGGTCCTGTGAGAAGGGAGAAGCTGTGCAGCTCCCAAATCAACACCACACATGCATCTACTGAAATTACGTAAATGACAAAACTCATGTTAAAAAAAAACAAACAGAAGAGCAAGGAACAGAGAGCACTAAAAACATCTTTCTGTTTCGGCCTACATTAACATGAGACCTGAACGCATTATATTATTTTTTTCATCTATGAATTCCACTATTATTTGGAGATTTTCCTCCATGAATTAGTGATGTTTTTATTTAAATGTTCATAACCATTAATAGAATTCTTCAAAGTCCGCAGTAAGTTACAGAGAAGGCTACTACTCCGTTTTCCAGCCAGGACAGGTACACAGACCGTTTTCCTGCGCATTATTTTTATTGGTAAAGTCTCTTTACTACACCCTGCAACTGCAGTTTTGGAAGAACACCACGAGGTCTCCATCAAGAAGAAACTATGTGCAGGTTGCATAATTTAAGTACGGTAAAACACCTTACAAATACCTCAGGTTCCACGGCTGTTCTGCTCTCTTGCCCCACCCTAAAGACGGCGTGCACCTGCTTCAACCGCGAAAGAACCAGTTTAACACAACGTGTGGGTCTCTGCCCCAAGCCTGCCCTCGCTTTCGCCACGTCTATTTAAGACTCCCATGTTTTTCCTCCCCCCCCCCAATAAATAAATAAATAAACCCCTCAGACAACTCGTGCTCACGTTCCCACAAGCTATGCAAATAACGGCACAAGACGCTGTGAGATACATTTAAGAAGCGCCGTCCCCTCCCCACTGTTTCAAGGTCCTTTGCAGGTTTGTGGCAAAAGACGACCGAGCTGCAAAACCATAACGCTTACCCAGTGAAACTGCTGTATCATTTCTCCCGCGGGCCACACGCGGAGTTGCCTGTGACGGGAACATGAACGACAACGACTACCCCCCACCCCCGTCCTCTTTCACAGCTGCGCGGGGGGACCGCCGGCCCTCTGGGAGACGGACAGCCCCGCGCCCGCCGCGGAGGCGGCAGGGAGACCGCCCGAGAGAGCTGTGGGTGTGTCTGGGCAGGTGGGCCGAGAGCTGTGGGGTGGGCCGAGGGTCAAGCAAGGTCCCCGGTGAGGAGGGGGCAGAAGGCCGGGCAGACACCGGGCCGGGGGAAGGGCCGGGCGGGGAGCGGGGGCCAGGGCACGGCGCACGCAGATACCTTGCGCCCAGCGGCAGAAGATGGTGTCGGCCAGTCCGCGGGGCCCGGCCTTCTTGCCCCACACCAGGTGGACAAGTTCCTGGCCCGCCTCAGACATGACGGGGCGGCGGCGGCCCTGAGGCCGGGCGGGCGACGGGACTCCCGACAGCAGATCTCCTGTAGCAGCCGCGGCCCCTGCGCAAGGGAGGGGCCGCACCGGGAGGGCGGGGCCGGGCGGGGCGCTCGCGCGCCGGTGGGCGGGACCTGGCGGGGCGCCACGGGGAGATGCGCATGCGTGGCGGTCGCTTTTCCGCTTCCCCAGCAGGCCCTACTGCTTCCGCGGGCGGTGCGGGTGTAGTGGGGAGAGGAGAGGAGAGGAGAGGAGAGGAGAGGAGAGGAGAGGAGAGGAGAGGAGAGGAGAGGAGAGGAGAGGAGAGGAGAGGAGAGGAGAGGAGAGGAGAGGAGAGGAGAGGAGAGGAGAGGAGAGGAGAGGAGAGGAGAGGAGAGGAGAGGAGAGGAGAGGAGAGGAGAGGAGAGGAGAGGAGAGGAGAGGAGAGGAGAGGAGAGGTTAGGCTGGCTCGGGCGGTGGGCAGGTAGGCGGTGAGGAGGGCTGCGCTGCGCTGTCTCGGTAGGTACCAGCTGCCCGGCTGGTAGCGAGACCTCAGCTTGGTGTGTAGGGTGTGTGTAGATGAGCGTAGCACTGAACCCAAATAGTAGCCAGCATGGAATCATTCTGTGATTTTACAATCAAGCGTAAGGCGTCTCTGCTCATGGCAGCGGGGTTGTAACTAGATAATCTTAAGGTCCTTTCAAATCCAGATCATTCTGTGATTCTGCGGTTGTCAGCCACGGCTGCAAGGCCAGTTTCTTCAGCAAGGAGGTGCCATTAGCCTCTCGCCCTCTGGGTTCGGCCCGGCCGCTGCTTACACTGCGGGTTGGGTGCTACTCTGCACGGGCCGCTCCAGGCAATTCCTTAACTGTTGAGCTGCGGGGAGTGCACTGAAGGAGTTTGCCTTTAAGGTTTTATGTGAAGCAGACAGTAGTCAAGTGTTAAGGCTTCCAATCATGCATATGGACTGGATATATCAAGATGCCTCAGGAATTCAGTCACGCCAGTGTTTAGAGTGTTTTTCTTTAGTCTTCTATAGTGGTGTGGAAGTGCTAACCTAACATAGGTAAAATGTAGCGCTACCATATGTACATGAAATCTCTATACTATTTCAGAAACAGTTCTTTTAGCTGGCGGTACATACATTTCATACAGTGGTTTGAAACAATGAAAGGTAGACATCTGATTTTCTTAGACCACTTAGGAGTGGTGTTAGATGGACATCCTGTCAACTTGAACATATTTTTATTCGGGAAGTAACTTCTTTTAATGTAGTAATGATTTTTTTTTTTTTTTTTTTCCCAGCAGACATTCTAGAAATAAAAGTTGCCTATTTTTATTACAGATAATTGCCATTCTAATGGGAATTCTTCGTTAAGGTTTTGTGGTCAGTGTTGTGCACTAGATTAACATAGACTTCATTAAACAAAATTCTTCCAAAGGGTGGTAATTACTACCACTGGCAAAACTGGATTAAGGATGTTCTCTTAGAAAAAAGTGTTTCAATCTAAAAATTTTCTAGGTGAGGCTATTGCATATGCCATCTTAGAATTCTTTATGTCGTGTACAGATGGATTGTGCTGTGATGTGCCTACTCACATCATTACATACACTCGTTACTTTTGTGGAGATTAAGCACATAGGGAGATTTAAATGTGCGGTCATTCTGCTTTAAGTATGTGAATGGTCAGTAGCAGGGTGTTTAAAAGCTTTCTGACATGTCATGCCACAAATTGATCAGAAGATGGTGTGGTTGTACTGATTTTTAAGCATTTTCAAATAGCTGAGCGATTAAACATTTTCTGAATAATTATTACTGGCAAGCCATCAATTTCCTTTGGTATCAATTACAGAATGGATTCTGGATTTGCATAAGTAATGCTTTTAATGGACACTTTCTGATTTTTAGCATGAAGAAAGAACTCCAAATGAGAAAGAATTTAAAGGCATAACAACAAAATCATGTTCTGGACATACTATAATAAAGGTCATAATGTTTTTATTTTCTCTGTGATTCGAATCAATTTTTCAGTAAAATGCAAATTATGTAGCTGTAGTATTTTGAGTTTAATGCTAGGTATAGTAGGGTTGGAATTGTAACATCCCATAAGAAGGAGGCAAATATCAAAGTGTATGTATTTTAAAGTGTATTGAATATAGCTTTGAAATATTTCAGAGTATGTATATCACAATGGTGTGATGGTGCAAGCATAAGTCAACTAGCTCAACAAAGTTCGGACAATCCATTGATAGGAAGGCTTTATGAGGCGGAGGAAGGAACTGCAAGTTTTAGCCCATCTCCTCAAGCTGCTAGGCTTGTTCTGAGGAAGCAAACTTAGGTTGTCATGGATGCTCAGGGTGTAGTCTGAAAAAAAAAATTTGGTGAATGAGTGGAGAATTGAGGGGCACTGTAAAACAAAGGTGCTGAATCTACAGCTGGACGATGGCCACTGCTGTGTGGAAGAGGGATTGTACCACCCTGAGGCACCAAAAGGCTGGAAAAGTTCCTCCATTTCCCTCTCTGGTGCATTGAATCATTATTTGTGTGTTGTCAAAATGAAGTTAATTAGAATGAGAGTGCCCTGTGATGGGTACAAACAGGTATTCACACTGAAAGAGGCATAAGGAAAAGCTCAGTCACAAACTTGGGAGCTCTGAGCAGAAGAGGTGCTGCAGTTTAATGTGCAAATAAGTGCAATTGTTTTACTTTTTCCTCGTAGTTGGAAGAATGCTTATCAGCTGCGCATCTGTGATTATGAGCTAGCAGCTAATACTCCTGTAAAGTCATAATATCAAGTTGAATCTGTATTTCTAACCCAACTTAGAATGACAAATAGCCACATTTTGGTGTGGTGGCAGTTTTGTTGTGTGGCAGTGATAGTGAGCTTTTAGGCTAATGCTCTGTGCTATGTAAAAATGACTTAACTTCTGAAATGACTGTTGTATATCTCTGGTATTGCTAATTTGCTCCATGTAGTTTGAACACAGATATGAGAAAGCATGTCTTCAGAATTCCTATACTGACAAAAGCAAAGACAGGAATGAGAGACACAAGCTGTAGAGTGATTTTATCCATCTTGATTTGGTTGGCATACAGCATGTGGGGTTCAATATAGACAAAAAATAATGAATCTGGGAACAAGGAAGCAATTTTGGGCATATGTACCAATTGGAACAATCTGCTATGTGCTGGTTAGGAAAAATGTTAGGGAATTACTTTGGAAATACCACTGAAACCATTAGCTTTACTGTTCTGCTAAGAGGCAGGATATTCAACAAAGTGATCCCACACTAGCCATATAACATGCATTATTATTAAACAAGCACATTATAGCAAATAAGCGCACTAAAGCAAACAAGCACACTAACCCGAATCAGGTATATATCTCCATATATAATAAATAAGCACAATAAAGTGAATCATACATATATATATATAACACAGAGGAAAATTAGCAGTGCATCACCAATTATCACCTAATCATCATCCAGGCCCACACTCCAAGCTTGGAAGCCCCATTTCAGATGATGCCAGGAGTCTCAGATAACTGGGGAAAATTTCTATGTGGTGCATCCACCACGTGGTGAGGCTTCAGATTTGGCTACAAGAGGGTCCTGCTTTTATACCCTTACAAAAACAGCCTGGCTTTATGCCAGGTTTCTTATCGTTTACTCATGGCTGTGCAGTTTCTCGTGATCTCCGTGTTTGCGCGGAGTGTTGCGCAGGCACCCTGGTGTGGCCAAGTATGAAAGCCATAGAAGAGCACCATGCTTGTGTTTTCCTGCTTGTTTCTGGCAAACAGTCACAGTGAACATAAATATATATACTTTATCAAATACACTTTGACAAAAACATACTTTACTATGTCCCTTACAATCATGAGCAGGTTCAACTCTCAGCTAGGGTCCCATCCATTACACTAAAAAAAAAATGGCAAAAAGGAAACTGTACAATCAGCTGTAGAAAATGACACTGAATACAAGTGAATGAGACTGTGAATGTCATCAGTTATGTCTTCTGATCTCCTACTGCTTATCTTTTAAGTTTTGGGCATTCATAAGTTAGTGATATGTATGCCAAAAAAAATGGGACTGGAAAATACGTGGGTGAATTTGTGGAGGTTGCAGTTAGTGAGGAGGAGACTAAAAAGGAGGATTAGGAGAAAAGCATATGAGAAGACTGGTATTTTGGAATTAGGAACATACCAGGGCTTCGGTTTTTAAAGGTTATTGTTTTTTTTCACTATGGGAGAAACTATGCGCTCAGTCATGTCTAATATCAGGTTGACTTATGAATAGAATGTGTGAACACTGTATAGACACTGTGAGCAATGTATGACACTGAAGAGAATGTGTGTGGATTGGAGTATTTTCTAAAAATATGAAACAGTGTTTAAATCTTGTTTCTATGGACCCTGGGTTGTATGAACGGTACTGTAAAGTCAGGGTTTCATGAAAGACAAACCAGCAGACTTCTGTGCATATTGGGTCTTTTCCTCCTTAGCATGTTTAGACGTATGCAAATCAAGAAAGATTAAAAATTGCTACTCTGTAGTATTGCTTGGATATATTCTGAGTAGAATGCACAGATTTGAACTACTTTTTCAAATAGTTTCTATTAAATGTGCAAGTTTTGTTTTGGTTGGTTTACTTGGGTTTTTTTTTCTTTAACGTTGGACTGCCATCATGTGGCACTTTTAGAAATAGCTGCAAGTTCTATTTTTTTTTTCCTCGTAAATAATATGCACTGTTCACTTATTTTTTTTTCCCTTGTGAAATGCTGTTAATTCCCTCTGCAGACTGGTTTGGTGGTTTTGGGTTTTATTAGGCAAACATAGCAATAGCCGTTTTCTTCCTTCTAGTCTCTAATCCAGACTCACTTGGTTTATCTTGATTCTGTTGATCTCAGTACGTAACACCTCACAGCAGTTCACTACATGTAACAAGAAGATAAAGAACATAAGCATATATTCTATATGTGTGCAGGCCCTTTTGGTTTACTTAATGTATTTTTTAAGGATTAAGTCTATTCATGAAAGTTTTTGTATTAATTGAGAGTTTATGGGCTTACAGGTATGAACTGATGACAATGAGCAGTACAAATTACAGATACTGTATATTTTTG